TTCCCATGTCCTGGCTGCTGAGATGGAGGATATGAGAGGAAGAATCTGTTAAGGGGGTGGCTAGTGTGTCAGGTAACACGGAGACATCCAAGGGGAGCTGTCCAATAGACCACAGGATCGGTGAGTCTGGAGCTCAGAAGAGTGGGTCCATGACTTTTATCACCAAACATCAGTTAGAGTGTTGAGTTGCAAGTACCAGAAACCATTTCTGGCTGATGTACGCAGAAAAAATGAATTTATTATAAGGCTTTTTAGGTGGTTCACAGAATTGTAAGGAAGGCTAGAGAATTATACTCAGAGCTGTGCAGCCAGGAACAATTCCTGAAATCATGTGCAAAATTGGTCTGCTGAAGAAACTAGCAATGCCATCGAGCCCCATGTGCTTCACCTTGTACCGCTGCTGCTGCTACTGCAGCCATGGAAACTCCACCTGCCTGCAGCCAACACTGTCACCAGAAAGGAGGCTCTGGGCTTTTTTTTTTTTTTTTAAATCGCTACCACTAGGCCTGTAACCTGACTTCAACGGATGCCGGGAAATCAAGATTCTAGTATATTTAGCTTCTGCAGGGAAGAATGAGCTGTGTCTCCCAAGACTCCTGAGGCAGGAAATTCACCAAAGACAGGAAAGGGGTTCAGACTTTATGCAGCCTAATTGAATGACAAATATTCATAACAATGCCCTTGACCCCCCAAAAATGGCTAGAAACCACTAGCGTGGAGAAAGCAGAGAGGACAGCTAAGGATATGTAACTGGGGACCATCACTATATAAAGGACATTCTTGAAGTGTTTAGCACTTGGAAGTGTTAGACATTCACATGATGCCTTTTCCCTAACTCCACCTCAGAATTGTTGCCTGTGTTTTGAGAAACAGGTTGTGTTAACACAGTAAGAAGCAGAGACATGGTGGCACGTCCCTGTAGTCTCAGCTACTCAGGAGGCTGAGGTGGGAGGAAAACTTGAGCCCAGGAGTTTGAGACCAGTCTGGGCAACACAGCAAGACCTTGTCTCTAAAGAAAACTAAAAAAAATAAAAATAAGAAGCAGGCTGGGCGCGGTGGCTCACACCTGTAATTCCAGCACTTTAGGAGGCTGAGGTGGGCGGATCAGGAGGTCAAGAGATCGAGACCATCCTGGCCAACATGGTGAAACCCCGCCTCTACTAAAAATACAAAAAAATTAGCTGGCCGTGGTGGTGTGCACCTGTAGTCCCAACTACTTGGGAGGCTGAGGCAGGAGGATTGCTTGAACCTGGGAGGCGGAGGTTGCAGTGAGCCGAGATCGCGCTACTGCACTGCAGCCTGGCGACAGGGTGAGACTCCATCGCAAAAAGCAAAACAAAAATAAGAAGAAGAAGAAAAAGCAGAGAGGTGAGTTCTTCCCTAGAGAGAAAGGCCTCCCAGGGTATTCTTCCCCACCTTGAGTTCTTATGATGTAGAGATCTAGGGGCAAGAAGGCCATGCAACAGGTTCAACTATCTTCGCTGAAAAACACTCCAGGACACAATTCTTGGTAAAGAAAAGTGCTATTTTTTATTTGTTCTTGAATGTATAGGTCCTTTTAAGATCAGTGATACTTTCCTTTAAAATATCCTCCCTCATGCCCCTACCGCTTTGGATCCAATAGCCACTCCTAACAAGGGTCTAGGAGGAACTCATCCTACATAGCCAAGAAAGGGGGTACAGCTTGAGGAATGGGCGTATGGCTCAGGAAGCAGCACCAGCTGATAAGAACTTTCCTCAAAGCAGCTCTGTTTGGCTTGTGAGTCCCCTTTCCCTGCCCTGGTCTGGACTCCCCCAGCTGTGTCCTACCCCTGGAATTCCCCTGTTCCTTATGTGGCCTGATCTTTAGAGTCAAAGTCATAATTAACATCTTTACAGCTGGAGAGCTGAGAGATCACTGTTCTCAGCCATTCTTCCACTACAACTTTATAGATGAGGAAACTGTATCCAAGGTCACACAGTTCATAATGGAAAGAGCCAAAAATTTTGGTGTTCAGACTCTCAAATCAGGTATCTTTCTAGTATGTACCTCCTTACCTCCAAGAAAGCAACAAATAGCTGCCTCGAACTCCAGAAACAACTGGAGCAAGCAGCTGGTGGTGATCAGCACAGGTAGAAAAGGCCCTGATATAGGGAGTCATGCTGACTCCATCTGAGCCCCAGCAAGAGAGGAGCCACCGCACTCCCTAGTCTCCCTCTATCCCAATGGTAGCAGCAGACACCTACCCTGCCAGGTTCTCCCCCTGGTTAGCAGCACTGACGTGCATGGAAACATGTCTTACCACAATCCCAGACTCCTTCTCAATTGCAGCAGGCTCTAACTGGTGCAGGATCATGGCGAGGAGCTGCCCACCAGCATGGTAAACCAGTTTAGCCAGACTGCAGCCTGGATGCTATAAAACCTAATCCACACCCTTGGGCTGACTTAGATGGGGTCTCTTAGCAAACATGGCTAAAATATCTGTGTTGTCTGGGAGAGACAGAGGGAAGGACTCACAGATGCTGTCCTCCCAGCAGGAGCTCATAAACATGCTTGGCATGAGGAGAACTGAGTTCAGGAAAAGGAAGGGACGCAGGAAATAGACAGACAGAGGAAGCAGGAGCAGCTATAATTCTTCCTGCCTACCCAACTCCTGAAAAGGAGAGACCAGAGACAGCCACAGACATTTCCCCCTGTCTAGGTTTCAAGGATGGCTCAGCCTGTGTGGGCTGAGAGGTAAGAGGAGAGAATCCAGAGACTTGTTTTTTTGGATTCTCTGAGAATCCAGAGACTTGTGGTGTCATAAAAGCTAAGGGAGGAGGTTGTTTCACCGAGGGTTGGTGGGTGGGGTGAAATGCTGCAGAGAGGTCAAGACAGCTGAGCACTGAAAGGTGTTCATTCTATTTGGCAACTGGGCAGTCACTGGTGACTTTTATGAAAAAGTGTAGAGGGCTGAAGAAAAGTGCTATTTTTTATTTGTTCTTGAATGTATAGGTTCAAGGAAGAATCAGTTTAAAAAGCTTCTTTTTTAAAGTAACTTGGCTAACAAGGAAAATGTGTAAGGGGTAACAGACTCTGAGAAATGCTGTTTTAATCTTGGGGAGAACTTGTTTGCAGGCTGTGTGGAGGTAACCAATGGAGACAGAGGCTGGAGACTCCAGGGAGTGGGAGCAGTGAACTAAGCGAGGGAGCAGTCTTGGAGGACATACAACAGTATTCAAGACAGACAGAACTAAATAGGAGCAAGAATGGAGGGGATGGGGAGAGTTACAGACACAGATGAATGAGAGGGGAGAGAGGAGCAGCGGGCAAGGAAGGTCTTGCTTTAGGGGCTCTCTTCTATGAAGTAGACAGTGAGCTCAGTCATTTGCGGAGGGCAAAGATGGAGGCATGGGTGAGGAAAAAAAAGGGTCACAACAAGTTGAACTTCCAGTCAATACTGAGAGCTCAACTAAGGCTGCCAACTGTGAATCTGTCATGCTTAGCAGCCCAGGAGGTGGAAGCAGCAAATAGGATGATGATGAAAATGGAGAATGGCTTATAGTTTTAGCAAAAATTGAAGGGGATAGGACTGGCGAGTGGCTTATGCCTGTAATCCCAGCACTTTGGGAGGCCAAGGGAGGCAGATCGCGTGAGCCCAGGAGTGTTGATACCAGCTTGAGCAACAAGGCGAAACTCCATCTCTACCTAAAGTAGAAAAATCAGCTAGGCATGATGGCATGCACCTGTAGTCCCAGCTACTCAGGAGGCTGAGATGGGAGGATCACCTGAGCCCAGGAGGCAGAGGTTGCAATGAGCCGAGATCATGCCACTGCAATCCAGCCTGGGTGACAGAGCGAGACTCTCTCTAAAAAAAAAAAAAAAAAGAGAGAAGTTGAAGGGCATGAGAAAGTTCAGGATGCTGATAAAAACATCAGTGTGTGATAGGGTGTGATAGGCTCTGAGTTCATGCTGGGGAGAGGAAGAAGTCCAGGAGAAAGCTAAAAGACAAGAAGAGGAGAGAGAGGGCTGATGTCATGGAAATGGACTGAAGGAGCAGAGCAATGTTGGCAGTACTGAGGGAGGGAGAAGAAGCCCAGGAGGTGGCAATCCAGAAGGAGCAAAGACTCAGTTCAGGAGTTCAGAAAGGAAGACTATAAGTGACCCCATGGAGTGAGAGAGGGAGCAGAACAGAGCCCAGGAACAAACAAGGAGGCACCTCGGTCTTAGGAGCCAGGCTGTTGCTAGAAATGGGTACAGGGAGGGAGCCAGAGCCCGCCGGGCTGGATGGCAAGGACTGCCATGGAACAGAGCCTATGGAGGGTCTGGTGGCTGCTACTCAGGTAGGGGTACTAGAGGCAGGCAAGGTGTATGGTTAGAAATTGCTAGAAGTCAGGCAGGGCTAACCTACCCATGTTCTGTGGAAGAGTGCTCTGCAAGTTCATTGTGAACCAATTTTTTTTTTTTTTTTTTTGAGACGCAGTCTTGTTCTGTTGCCCAGGTTGGAGTACAATGGCACAATCTCAGCTCACTGCAACATTCACCTCCCGGATTCAAGCAATTCTCCTGCCTCAGCCTCCCAAGTAGCTGGGATTACAGGCACGTGCCATCACACCTGGCTGATATTTGTATTTTTAGTAGAAACAAGGTTTCACTACGTTGGCCAGGCTGGTCTCGAACTCCTGTCCTTAGGTGATCCACCCACCTCAGCTTCCCAAAGTGCTGGGATTACAGGCAAGAGCCACCATGCCTGGCCAAAAAATAAAATAAAATTTTAAAATCCTGAACCAATTTTTAACTAAAATCCCCTTTGCATCAACTGAAGCCACTTTACTGTCTTATTTCTCAGCACACCCAAGAAGCCAATTTTTCCTCTAGAACCGCATGCTTTCCCATAAGAACCTAGAACTCACCATATTTCCACTGCACGATGTTGTCAAGAACAAAAGGACTTGACAGACTTCAAAACTGGGCCATTATGGGAATAAGTCAAAAGCAGGATCAGTCCAAATGTTAATGAAGAGCCCCTGCAGACAGTCACTTGGCTAGCAGGATTTTTTTTTTTTTCTTTTCTTTTCTAATTTCTAAGTCATGTTCTGGTTTTTCATGAAAAAACAAAACAAAACCGTGACTCAAAACTCTGGTGGCTAGGTCTAAGGGAAAAGCCAGGGAGAGGCAGGTGTCTCAAGGGAGCCTCTCAGCATGCAGGCTCTCTATGATGAGAAGGGAGCATGTGTCTCTCCAGCACATTACTAAGATGCCCCTGGCCCAGCAGGCTGATCCTTGAGCCCAGGAGGCCACATCCAAGCTGGAAGTCTCACTGATATAAGGAAAGCCAAGTTTTTAACAGGCATTTCTGCTTTAAATTTGTGGTCTCCAGTTGGTCCTGAGGAAGGATCAAGTCTAAGCCTGTCACAACACTCACCAGCTGCCCAACACCAAATACAACAAAGCTCACAGGGATGGTGGGAATGTGGGCTGCACAAAGGAAAGATGACCTAGAGCAGGAATTAGTGACACGAGAACAGAGGTTACTTTGCCAAGCCAACTGAACATAGAAGAAGATTCGAAAATTTAAAGGGAATTGACCAGATCCCAAACCAGAAAGTCATGTGAGTCTCAAAGGGCAGAAGCCTAAGTCCAAAGACTGCCAGATTAGTAAAGCATTGAATACTTAGTTACCCCAAACTAGAAAACGGGATCACGGAAGCCCATCTGCTTAGGAGAACGTGGCATGTGCTGCTGAAAGAGTGGCAAGCCAAGGGGCATGGTTTGCTTTAAAGTGAAGATGATCTCTGAGGTTGGGTAGAGAAGGAAATGAGCAATACCATCAACTCACAAAGAGAGAAGAAATGTTTTCTAATTTTCAAAAAAATTGCTCATTAGCGAAGGCCCTGCAAACAAGAACATCCTTGAACTTCATCTCTTAGCAGAAACAAATCCATGACCTTAGACTCCCCTGAAATTAGCCATGCAATGACAGGACCAGGGAGAGCCATCTCAGTCCGGGCCACTGACATATCAGGTTCATAACTCCCCCAACAATATGAGCAATGGGTTCCCTCTCAACCAAGCCCTTGCTTGGGAGGTAGCCTGACCTCCAGTAGCCTCACAAACACCCTGCGACCATGCAGATCCATTCAGGATGCAGCCTTGAGTGCCTGTTCCCATGGCTTCCAGAATGCTTCTCTCTGCATTCCAGGAGAACTAAGGCTCTGAGGTTGCTTCATGGTCACCAAAGCACACTGGCTTTTTGCCTCTTGATTTTTCCCCCTGTCCACCTTAGACAAACTTCCCCTAGGAATGTCTAGATCTAGCCCCTGTTGGTCCCTGAGGCCTTCTCTAAGCTCCAACAAAAAGGGCTGCCAGTAAAGTGTTAGCTTTTGGGGGGCTGTAGACAGCCTCGAGGTGGGGTAGTCAGAAGACTCACTTCTGATCTTTGGCTCATGAACTTGGAGAGGTTGAGAACTAGAATCTCTAAGCAGGAGGAGAGGCGCAGAGGAGTGAGCTGGTTGTGGGTTACTCTCTCCACCCATGGAACTCTGGACCTGAAGCAGACAGCAGCTGCCTCACAGTATTTACAAGCAGAACTCAAGATCCAGACCTCTGAATGAGGATGACAAAGGGTATGGCCACTGAGAAGCACCAACAGTCACTTCTAGGAAGGTGGGTTCTCACCCTAAAGAAGTGCAATTAGCCCAGAGTAAGTAGCACAGAGGGCGGGCTCTCAAGTGGACATCTTTCTAAGTCCGTAAGTGAAATCTGAACCAGAAGTTGTAAGTGGTCTCTGCAGAGCCACCCAGCTCAATCAAGAATGTCATACCATCCACAGCATTTTCACAGCAGCCACCTAAGCCAACATCAGGAAAGTGAGTATGCAAAACAAATACCCTGAAAACCGTTAGAACCCAAATAGGCACAAATTGAGACCTACGGTCTCTAGAAGCCTCCACTAGTGTGCACATGGCAGGTGCCTCTGTCCAGACAGGACAAGCAAAGGCAAACAGTGATAGTCTTTGGCTGTGCTGGGCCAGGGATCACAGTCCTACCATATGTCTAAACCTCTCTCCCTTCTTTTACCCACTTCTGAGCCCAGGAGGAGTTCAGATATATACATGACTCCTGAGCCCTGGACACTAAAAGGTGAGACAGGTCTGCTTTCCTAGGCAGAAAAAAATTCACTAAGGAAAGTAGGTCCTCCCAAGCCTAACCAGGTATGGTCCTGTCAAGTGCAGCCTATACATCTGATTACTCTGGTAATAATAAATACCCTCCTCTTTCCTGTTTATTACTGAAATCTTCTCTGTAGTGGATGCACTATGGCTCCCAAACAAATGCTGTAGATGCAAATGGCAAAGAAGAGCACTATACAGTTCAATGAGACTCATCTACCATCCACATTCTGAAGAGGATAAACTGCGAGATGGGGAGGAATAGTCAACAGGATGGGACAACAGCTGCCAGAGTGCCCAGTCTCCTTTTGGCTGTCACACCTGAGAGATGCTGTTGGCCAGGCGAAATGACATTCTCTTTGCTCTTTCATTCTCCTGAAAGAAAAATACATATTTGGAATTAAAGTAGCCAAATGTAGGATTTATTAACATGAAAAGGCTATGTCAAGATTGCAGTTCTGCAGAGTCAAAGTATTTTATTCTACCCCAGGAATGCAGCAGTAAAACTTATTGAAATCACTAAACATTGTATGCTAAGTATGGTAAACAACTGGGGATGGCTGGTCAGACCCTGGCACACAGCAGGCAGGCAAAACATTTCAGTGGAATTAAACAGCACTGAATGGACGTTTCTGGTCTACACAGGTGGGACCAGCTCAAAGATCAGAAAAGCTTTCTCTGCTGCAAGCAATACCTTTCCTTCCTTAGCTACACCAAGGGGCTAAGAAAGATCCCTTCCTCTCTCCCTCAAACCCAAATAAAACCAGGCACTAAGACCAGGTAATTCCCTCCTTAGGGGCATCACGGTCACAGTGTAGTGTAGCTAGCACCAAACTGAGAATCAGGACAACTGGTTTCTCAGCCCAGGTCTGCTGCTAAATGCTGGGTTACCCTGGGCAGGGACAGGTACCTTTCTGAATTTCAAGTCTCGTGAGTAACTGGCATTGATGAGCCCTGTACTGCCCTGCCTTCCTTAGGGGCTAAGGGGCTGGAAGTGGGGGTTCATTGTCATCATTATTTTTTGCGCCACCCGAACAGCTTCGCCTTAGGTTGCTGCTTGGGTGCCCCTCTGCTTGCCTGATCACCACCCACCTGCTGCCGGCTGGCAGTAACTCTTTACCATATGTCGTCGCCGCCTCTTGGGTTGGATGCCCTCCTGCACGTAGGGAGGCCACGGGAAGCCCTGGGGAGTGGAACATCCGCTCTCACTAGACACCTCCTCAGAGTCTGAGTCCTCCTGCCTTGGCTGAGCAAACCGTTTCTCCGGGTAGATCTCCTTCAACCAGCCCTCAAAGAACACTTCCAGGCAGCGGCCAGCCTCTGCAACCTCAGAGTCAGGCTGATGGGGGGAGGAGAGCAGTGATGGTCTGATGGTCTAGCCCTTTTCTACTAGTCCATCTCTTCCAGGTCCCCCAAGAGCTACACAGAGCACAAAGCCTGGCGGGGTCTCCTGAGGTGTCTGGAACTTGACATTTTTCTCTGAGGACTCAGGAAAACTAGTTTGGTAGCAGCTCTTAAGGCAGAACTGACCCCAATAGGTATCCACAGATGGCCAGTCACTAGTACCTCCCCTTTTTCCTGAGTCCATGCTAAGGCCTGAGTGTGGGAGAGAGCTTTTTAACACTCACCACAGCAGGCCCCCAGAATCTGCTCCCCAGTCCTCATGGCAGCCCAGACCAAACCTAACTCCCACCGCTACCCACCCATGACAGTCCTAGGGTTGCAGGGAAATATGAGATAGGGAAAACAGGCAAGACATACATAATTGAACTTAGCACAGTTCCAGAACATGAGGCGCACATCTGATACCACCTCCTCTGGGGTGGTATAGTGAGCCGGGTCCTTCTTTTGCAGCTTCCTCCGGATGATTGACAGGTCCATGGGCCTCTTGATAATCTGGTAATAATGCCGGGCCTTGAGGGAGGAGACATGAGGAGAAGGAGGCAAAGGGGATGAGAGAAGAAATGGAGGTGTGGATAAGAAGGAAGAAGAAATGGAGAATGAGTTGGAATGTAAGTGAAAGAATAGGAGGAGGAATGATGAGCAGCAGGAAGAAAAGGATGGAGAAAGAAGGCAAAGAGAAAGGGAAAAGGAGGAATGTGTCACCTGTCAAGTCAGATCTGACACAGTAGCAGTTGTGTTGGGGGAGGCTGGAATGGCCATGTAGGACCTCGTATGGTCCCCTGGACTATCCACAAGTTAATATTGTCACTACTTCCAGTGGCCATGCTCTGAGCCCAACCTGGGAACTATGATGCTCCTGCCCCAAGGCCTGGGCCCTCTGAGCAGAAAAGACAATAGCAGGCAGAAACAGCATGGCCTTCCTTACCAGGGGGCTGACAGGTTCATGGAAGGGCAGGCTGAGGTTATTGCAGCACAAGGACAATACCAGCTTCTCACACTTCTGCAAAATCAGAATTGGCAACAGAGTTATTTTGTTCTGTCTCACCTCAGTATGAACTAAAGATGCTGACCCTCTCCGTCTCTACTAAAAATATAAAAATTAGCCGGGCATGGTGGCGGGTGCCTGTAGTCCTAGCTACATGGGAGGCTGAGGCAGGAGAATGGCGTGAACCTGGGAGGCAGAGCTTGCAGTGAGTAGAGATCGCGCCACTGCACTCCAGCCTAGGCGACAAAGCGAGACTCTGTCTCAAAAAAAAAAAAAAAAAAAAAAAAAAAAGATGCTGACCCTGATAACTCCCTGGCTCTGTCCCACAGGGTGCCAGCTGCCATACTAAGGTGCAATTCAGGTTCCCAAGCCAGAGGAAAACTGCTGGGAGAAGGAAAATCATCCAAACACCCCTGGGCCAAGTTGTCAGGCATAGCACAAAGAAAGGTATCCAGAAAAGCCCCTCATCCCCTCTGAAAGCCCTCAGACCCTGTAGGCAGAAGGGGGCTGCTAAAGGCAGGGAACCTTGCTTCCAAAGACTCCTCCCTACCTTCTGGTCATACATGCTTAGGCCAGGAGATGCCCGCATTCCAGGCTGGTTATAGCGGGCATTCTCACAGTCGTACTCCATCTCGGGCTGGGTCAGGCTGCGGCACAAGGTACACACCCACTCTCCCCTGCAGGGGCAGGTGAGGCCATGTTAGGCCTCAGCACATTGCCCAGAGCACCCTTCCCTCTCCCTCTGCCCTATGGCAGGCATGGGAAGCTGAGTCCCTGGCCTTTCCATGTAAGAAATGGCTTCCTAGCCACAGGCTTGGAAGAAATTCAGTAACTCAGAGTTTAGTGAATCTAGAAAAACAGGGGTTAGGGGAGACTGGGGTTAGTAGTATAGGCACAAATCCACATGCAAGAAGAAGGTGAGAAAAGAGGTGGAAAGGAAGTCAACTAAATGTCAAACATCCACCTATCTGTGTGCAGAAGATACCCAGGCCCATTAACTCACAGACCCGTAAAAAGCAGGTCCAGAAGAGGGGACTAAGCCCATCCTGGGAACTCTGTGGGCCTGGCCTGGAATAATCATCCCTAGAAGGTAACCCTACTAGCCAGGTGATGGTCCTGGACTGGCATGACTCACCCTGGGAAGCTGAGCAAGGCTGGCACATGGCAGGATAGGTGGAACACTTTGGGGCAATGGTCACAGCACAGCAACTCTCCACCATTGAGGCAAACAGCACAGAAGTCCTCATTCTCTATTGGAGCTGGGGGGCCCTTCTTGGCTCCTGGGGTTCGAGGAATGAGTCTGTGTTCTTCAGGAGATGTGCCCTCCACTTCTGATGGCCGCTGCCCAGCCAGAGAAGTGACAGTGACCTTTCTTCCCCCCAGACCTGGAGCCTGGGTGGCCTCAGACAGTCTGTCCTGGCTGACCTTGGGGAAGAAGTAAGTCTGGGCAGCCAGGTCACAGAACCAACAAGCTCTCGAGGGAGGGGAGGGAGGGACTGGCAGGCCCTGCATGCCTACATGAGAGCCACTTATTCCAGGACCCCAAGCAAGCAAGCCCCATGAATGCTGGGACACCTCACTCCTAATATGCATCTCACAGGCCCCTTGCAGCAGGGGACAACGTCTGGCGGAGCTGCAGCTCCATCAGAGACTCAGGAAAGGTCCCAGAGTCAGAATTCTGGCAGTAACAGAAAGAATAAGCTCTTAGGCTGGGCCAGGGTTTAAGGCCAAGGCAGAGCAAAGTGGTACCTTAATGGACATGCTGGAGGACTCAGTACCACACTCGATGATCAGCAGGAAGCTTCCATCTTGATCATTCTTCTGTGGCTTCAGCTTGAACACAGGCATCTCTCCTGAGGAGGCAGCACAGATCTTGAGTCGCTCCAGTCGCACATAGGGAATCTTATGCTCGCTGTTGAAGGCTCTGCAGCAAGATAGACACCCCGGGGTCTTGGTAGGATCCTCCTCTGTTCCCAACCACTAAATCAGAAACATCCATGATCCCTGTGATGATTAATACTGAGTGTCAACTTGATTGGATTGAAGGATACAAAGTATTGATCCTGGGTGTGTCTGTGAGGGCATTGCCAAAGAAGATTAACATTTGAGTCAGTGGGCTGGGGAAAGCAGACCCACCCTTAATTGGGTGGGCACCATCTAATCAGCTGCCAGCAAATACAGAGCAGGCAGAAAAACATGAAAAGGAGAGACCGGCCTAGCCTCCCAGCTATATCTTTCTCCTGTGCTAGACACTTCCTGCCCTTGAACATCAGACTCCAAGTTCTTCAGTTTTGAGACTCAGACTGGGTCTCCTTGCTCCTCAAGCTTGCAGACAGCCTATTGTGGGACCTTGTGATCATGTAAATTAATACTTAATAAAGTTTTTTATATATATATATATATGTGTATGTGTGTGTGTGTGTGTGTATATATATCCTACTAGTTCTATGCCTCAAGAGAACCCTGACTAATACAATCCCCAGCTGAATTGCTACTCCAGATCCTCTCAGATCTGGACTCTGAATGTGGACTCTGCAGGTCCACATTCTGCCCTCTCCTGGTCCAGCTCTGCATGGCCAGGCCCTGTCAGCCACTGGGAAGCCCTTTGGTGTAGTCCTGGTCAAAGACAGGAGCTCCCTGAAGTGCAAGGACTGCACCCAGAGCACATGCCTCATGGTGCAGGAACCAGGACATCCTCCCACAACCATCCCAGACATCCACCTGGAGGTTGAAGGGTTGAAGAAGACAGTTGCAGGCAAATTTCTTTCACTTGTAGTTAATTCATCAAGGATGCTTCCTCCTTGTGCCAACATCTCAGGATGTGAAATCATGGATGGGAGGGAGATTAGTCAGGAGGCTGTTACCTGATGCTCTGGTTCTCCTTTGCATCCAGCTCTAGGCCTCCTTGTTCAAAATTCTCACACTCTAAGGCAAAAGACAGATAAATACCTGTGGCACACATTTGTGGCAACAAACCCTGTCATGCATACCTTCCACTTATATCTGCTATTCATACCTTTGGCCACACACCTGTCAAACAGTAGTTATCTACACTATGGTCATTCATAGTGGTAACAAGTCTGCCATGGATCTCCTTCTTGAGAGGAGGAAGCCACCTTCTTTTAAAAAGATGAACACAAGTAACACTCAGAGGCTGCCTATGGGTGAGTGTTGGGTCAGGCACTGATGGGCCAGTTTCTCACCTTCAAGATGAGCTCAGAAATCACTTGTTCTCAGTACACCAGTGTTGCCTCCTCTGAGGAGTCTTTTTGTCCAGCCTATGCCCTGGCAGCCAAGTGCTGGGATTCCAGCAGTGCTTAAGAATCCAGCTCACACTCCAGGGAAAAGAGGCTCCCAGGGAGTTCTCCCCTGAGTAGGCAGTCTATGGAGGCAGTCGTGGGGCAAAAGGATGGAACTAGCATCCATTCAGCACCAGGCACGGTCCTAGGCACTGTACATGGGCAAGTAGGGTCTAAAATGTTTAACTGCATAAAACGCAGTTACATTATTACGTGTAATAAGAACCAATAATTTTTCAGTTGGCCTTTCAGTCAGTGTGAAAAAAAGAGGAGAAAAATTATGTCTTTCATTTTCATTTATTACACGTATAGGAAACAGACTAATCATTACAAATTAAACACGCATCATACATTGAACGAAAAAAGTCCCAAATGATCATCAGGGAGTCACTTCCTGACTTCCCAACTAGCCCTCACCTTCCACAGAAGAACAAACTTAGCCTAGCCTGGTTGGAGAAAGGGCATGGGTAGCTGAGAAGTGAATTAGAACCAATCTCCAATGGTCCAAATTCCCTTCACTATGAAGCACAACACAAATCCACATTACTGTCAGGTACCAGGAAAATCCTTACTACTCAGAGTAAGTTATCAAATGATTTCACTATGGTTATTGGTCCCAGCAGCCTATTAAGTAGGTGCGATTAGCCCCATTTAGAGAGAAAGAAATCAGTTGAGGGAGGTTAGGTATCTTACCAAGAATCAGAATCCTAACTTCCATCTATTGGACTCCAAAGTCAGACATGCTCTTTTCCCTATAACATTTTGTCAAGGCTAGCCCTCCTGGGCTGAGTTCTGTTTCCCCCTAGGTATAATGCAGACCCCCAGGACTCTTTGCATGGGGAGTGTTACAAAGAGAATAAGTCCTGGCCATGCCTAGATCAGCCATGGCCATGGTGAGGGAAGCAGAACAGGTGTTACTAAGACAGTTCTGGAGGAGAGAAGTAAATTCAACCTCAGAGAGATGCACTGTTTCCCCAGCTTACAGCTTGCCTGCTGGCCTCTATCTCACCTAGAAGTGCTGAGTCCATCTGCTCAACTCTGTGGCCAACACGAAGGGCAGGCTGCTTGAGTCTCACCTTTTGGGTTCCGGTACTGCTGCAGAGCTGTAGATGTGCTGACCACTGGTGCCAGTGGTGGTTTCTTCACAGAGAGGTTAATTGGCTCCTCCAGTTCTGAGGGGATGGTCAAGTCCTTGGAAGCATCCAGACCAGGGGCTATGGGAACTTGCCCCAGTGAGTCAGTGAAGCAAGTGGAATCCTCACTTTCCATCTTTCAAAAGAGAAATATCAACAAGAATCAAAGAACTCAGACATGGTTGTCATTAGTGGTCTCAGAACTGTAAAGCTAAGGTCAGAATAAGGGTCCCAGTGGCCAATCTTTTGCCCACTGATGAGCAAAGGAAGTTTGAATAGCATTTCCCCAGGACTTACCTTACACAGAGCATTCCCCAGGGAGGGATCAGTCCCATCTCCAGGGCACAGGCTCCCTGAAGTTCGGCCAGAACTGGAGCTGGACCCAGTTTCTGGCTGCATGTCAGAAACTGGAGGAATGCTCTGCAGAGGACAAGTTGCCAGACTTGGCACAGCCTGGGTGTGACCAGACATTAGGCTGGGCCCAGCCTGAGGGTGATCACTTGTCAGGCTTGCCATAGCCTGAGAAGAGTCACTCATCAGGTTGGGCACGGACTGGAATGTACTACGCACAAGACTGGGCACAGTCTGTAGGTGACTGGTTGTCAGGCTGGGCATGGCCTGATTTTGAACGCTTGTCAGGCTGGACACCATTTTGGGGGAAGCACTCAGCAGGCTTGGTACTGCCAGGGGGGCGCCAGATGTCAGGCTGCTCACACTCTGTATCTGTGGCTCTAGGGGCCTCTCCAACCTGGTAGATGACAACTCCATCTCCAGAGTGTTGGAAAAGCCCATGATGCTCACCGAGGTAGAGTGCTGTGGGAACAGAGACAAGGGGTAGAGTCAGGCTGCTAGCTGGGAATGGAGGGAGGAAGAAGGGGGACCCAACCCACAGGAGCTCCCATGCTCCAATTCCACTCTGGCTTCAGAGTCTGGTAGCTGCCAGGAACTCAGGCAATGCATGAAGCCCTGTTCCTCTTCCTGAAACCAAGGAGGCTGCTAGGCTATGACACACAGAGAGAGGCACAAGCGGAGGACTGTGTGTGTGTGTGTGTGTGTGTGTGTGTGTGTGTGAGAGAGAGAGAGCAAGAGTGAGAAAGAGAACTTATTGCCTGACCTGAGGCATGTACACACACACACACACACACACACACACACACACGCGGTCAGCCACATCCCTCACCCTAGTCCTGTACCTAAGCAAAGGGTCAGGTTGTGGGATTGCCCTCTAATTTCAAATTCCCCTCTGACTATACCACCAGCGGCTTCTCTTTCCGTCAAGGAGTGCTATAGAATAGTTTCTGCTATACAAAAGTAGCAGGGGATTGAGAAGGTTCAAACTCTTATCAGCCTCAGATCTTCTTTGAGAGAATGCCAAGGCTCAGAAAGTTCCAATCAGTCCTGGGGAACCTGGGTCAACTCCGGGGCCTTCTTATGGGCTTGTTCAGATCAACTCCAAGCACTACTAGCATTTGATGTAGGCTTTAACCAAGATATCTGGAGGTCTTTTCTGGCCCTAGTATACCTGCCAAAGATATTCCAAACCAGAGGCAGAGAACTTCAAAGCACCTAAATCTTAATATCACCCAGTCTGTACGATCATTGGATAAGGCAGTAATGTTCTGACTCCAAAATTATTCTTACATCTGAGGAGAAGAGATGTAAAAGGTTTATAAAAAGAAGTTGAAGACATAGATTTCTGTACTGAATCCATTCCATTTTTCAGATTGAAGAGACAGATTTGGGGAAAATGAGGGAGACTGGCTCTAAATATAACCTTCAGGAATGTATAAGTTTCATATCCTTGCCCTTTAAAAAAAGACTAAATATATAACAATTTCACATCTTTTGAAAAACAAAGAGAAAATGGGGATTAGGCATATCCATCTAAGTTTCCAAAATCAGTGTCTTGAATCTGTCATTTCTTTTCCCATTCAAATTTTCACAGGAAAATAAATACTTCAAATACATTCTCAAGTCTCAATATAGTTACTAAAGCTGTTTTGCCATGAAGACTGTCCTCATCTCAGTGAAAGCCACTCCTAGTCATCCAGATCTGCAAGTCAGATCCTATGAAGGAGGCATCAGTGAAGCACCCCTCCTGCCACACCCAAGCTAATACCAAGCCCCATCAATTCTACCCCTTAAACATCTCTCAAATATACCCACTAATTCTTCCCTCTGCTGACGGTGCCCTAGCCTAACCTACTTTCACACCTCCCTAGACAACAGTAGTAGCCTCTTCAATGGAGAAATATTTTCAAAACACGAATCCAATCACATCATTTCTTTTCATAAAACCCCGCAGTGCACTCCATTCTTCTTAGAATAACTGCAAAAATTCTTAACAAGACTCCCGAGGCCCTGATGACCTGTCCCTCTGTCCTCCTTTGTAGCCATAGCTCATTCAATAACCCTCTCCTCATTCTCTGAACTTGTCACTCATTTTTTCCAGTTCCTGAAACATACCAAGCTCTCCCTCCACCCACTATCCTCACCCGCTTCAGAGGAACTGCTTTCTCTGCATAGAGGATTCTCTTAGCCCTGCCCTGTTCCGCTTACCCTTCAGAACTCAGCTCAACTGACATTTTTTGCCAGAAGGCCTTCTTTCATTCTCTAGTCCAGACCAGGTTCCCGCTTTTATGCTCTCATATGCCTTGTACTTACACTTTCAGCCTCATACCACAATCTGTGATATCATTTGATTAATGTCTGTTTCCCCTACTAAAGTGGAAACTCCATTAGGGTATGGATTTTTATCTATTTTGCTTACTCACTGTATTCCTAGACCCAAGAGCAGTGTCTGGATGAATAAATGAATTAATGAGCTATTTAAAATTTCAAAACAATACTAATACAGGACTGTTTATTCTACAAATCTTTAGCCAAATGAACAGCAGCTTAGGTCTACTGACAACTTAGTCAATGAGTCTCTCTAAAATAATGATTATTTTTATACAGCTAAAGTTTATGAAGAATTTATTATATGCAAGGCCATTTGCTAAATGTTTTACATATATTACTTTATTTAATCCTCACAATAACCATTAAAGGTTAAAAGAAACAATCCATGTGAACATTTAGAACAATATCTGGCATACTGTAGATGCTCAATAAACCCCAGTTGTTTTTACTGCTGCTGTTATTATTTTGATTGTTATTATTGTTGCTGCAGACCTAATTTTACACTTGACAAAGATGAGGCTCAGAAGGGCATCTTAAGTTTTTTCATATTATTGTAAAACATAATTTTATAGATTTCCATTTCTCTTTATTGTTTGTGTATTATATATAGAAATACAATCAATTTTTGAATATTGACTTTATATAGACCTTGCTAAAGTCATTCTGGGATTTTGTTTTGGATTTTCTGTGCACACAAATCATGCCTATCCATGAATAGTAAGTTTTTGTTTTGTATTTCCAGGCAGAGTCTTGCTGTGTCACCCAGGCTGGAGTGCACTGGCACAACCACAGCTCACTGCAGCCTTGACCTCCCAAGCTCAAGTACGCAATCCTCCCACCTCAGCCTCTGGAGTAGCTGGGACTACAGGCGCATAACACCACATCCAGCTAACTTTTATTTTTTATTTTTGTAGAGACAGGGTCTTGCTATGTTGCCCAGGCTGGTCTTGAACTCCTAGGCTCAAGCCATCTTCCCACCTTAGCTTCCCAAAGTGCTGGGATTACAAGCATGAATCACCACGCCCATCCTGAATGGTAAATCTATTTTCTTTTTTCTTTACATTTGTTTTTCTTGCCTCACTCCACTAGCTAAGACCTCCAGTACAATATTGAATAGAAGCAGTGATAGTAGCCATCCTAGTCTCATTCCTGATCTTAGAGGATTCTTTCAATATTTTATCATTAAATAGATTTGATGTAGATTTTTTATAGATTTAGAATCCAGACCTTGGTCGGGCATCGTGGCTCACACCTGCAATCCCAGCACTTTGGGAGGCCAAGGCAGGCAGATTGCTTGAGCCCAAGAGTTCAAAACTAGCCTAGGCAATATGGTGAAACCCCATCTCCACAAATGATAGAAAAATTAGACAGGCATGCTGGCATGGGCCTGTGATCCCAGATTCTCTGGAGGCTAAGGTGGGAGGATTGCTTGAACCCAGGAGGTTGAGGCTGCAGCGAGCCAAGATTGTGCCACTACACTCCAGCCTGGGCAACAGAGCAAGACCCTGTCTCAAAAATAATAATAATAATAATAACAATAATAAATAAATAAAAAGAATCCAGATCTTCGGTACCAAAGCTACAACTTAATTTTGACTTGTCTCCCTCTATACGTCTCTGGGCTTACTCCCCTTCACTATCTGTCATATTCTATTCTATTTCTTTTCCTTCCCTCTCTTCTCCTCTCTCCCCCTCTCTCTCATGAGCTCCTTCTCTTTCTGTCCTGCTTTCTTTTATCATCTCTTTCTCTTCTTTCCCTACCTCTTTCCCTTATTATTTAACTGCTTTAGTAAGGCTTATATTTTCTATTCTTAATTTTAAACACAGATGAGTTAAATATCTTTTGTTTATCTCTCCAAAGTATGCTCTTTATATTCTCCTTAGTAGTTCAATAGTGTTCAAGTTTTTAAAAACCTTCAATTTCCTCCACAGTCTAAGTGCCAAGATAAGAAAGGTTGAAGAGAAGCAAGGTGGAAAGAATACTTAAACCAAATTGGGCAAACTAGGAATGAAGCCCAGCTTAAGGGACCAAGGCCAAAAATCAATGACTATCTCAAACATGCCCAGGCCTGCATTCCTTAACGTCTCCTTGTTGTCCTGGTTATGCACTACCATAGTTTTCTAATATTCTATATTTCCTTATCTATGAACAAGAATACTCAATGACTATTTCATTCCATTTTGCAATATATGACAGCCTAATCCTTTGCTCTGGATTCTTTCCCCTTTCCCCTATTTGACATGTATGTTTAGTGCGGTTGTGGTGTTCATTTAATCTACCCATGCTGGATATTGAGAATTATATAGATATCTCTTCTTAGTGAGATCCTTGTTGCCAAGCATTAAGAGCACTAAAATCCACATGAGACCACCCAAATAATAATGGTCAGGTGCCATATCTCACAAGATATGCACAAGATAAAATCCCCAAGGACAAAACTTCCCAGATTAGGGGTAGAGATCATATTCGTGGGAAATCAGCTCTCCTGTCCTAATTACCTATTGCATATGTGAGTTAACAGAATGATAGGGGAGAAGAAGACATGCAGACTGAACTGTGGAAAAATTGCGGAAACTCCATGGCAGTTTATTTTGAGGTGAACCTGATGAACCTGGTCCTGTAATACCCAGAAGACGATACGAGGTCAGCAATACATCCCAAGATATTGCATACTTGACTGATTTCTTTCCTTCTCACAACCACAGCCAATCTCAAGGAGGCCAATGCTATCAGGAGATGGGGTGAAGCTCTGGTAGTAGTAACAAGAACCTGGAAAACTTCCACGGAGGAAGGGACTCAGAGAAAGTGCTGTGAGAAAGCCAGCCCAACCCCATCCCATTTTTACAGGCTATACAGAAATAATGGCATTTCTAAAACCTATATATGCTATGTGTTCGTTATTTTTATACTACATCAGCTCTCTAGAGTAAAGGGTTGTAAAATATTAAAACAAAAGGTACTTATTTCATGTACAAAAAGTAAAAGAAGATTTGAGAACTTCCATCCTAGTCTGTTGCCAGTGCTACAAGATGAGTTGGGGGCAAGGGTAGGGCCAACTTTCAGAGCAAGGAAAGCAGGCTGAGTCTCCAGGGCCTGGGAGGAGAGGAAGCATTTCTCGAGAGCATGATGG